GAAATGGTTAGTGACTTGCTACACCACTTGGACTCACACAAGCCTATGGGGCCAGATGGGATCCACCCAAGGGTAGTACTGAAAGAGCTGGCGGAAGGGCTTACCAATCCACTTTCAATCGCTTATCAGCAGTCCTGGATAACTGAGGTGGTCCCAGTTGTCTGGAGGGTAGCAAATGTTGATGCCCATCTACAATAAGGGCCAGAAGGAGGAACCAGGGAACTACAGGCCTGTCAGCCTGACCTTGGTGCCAGGGAAGGTTATGGACCAGATCATCTTGACTGCCATCACGCGGCACATACAGGACAACCAGGTGATCAGACCCAGTCAGCATGGGTTTGTGAAAGGCAGATCCTGCTTGACTGACCTGATCTTCTTCTATGATAAGGTGACTGGCTTAGTGGATGAGGGAAAGGCTGTGGATGTTGTTTGCCTGGACTTTAGTAAACAGTTTAGTGTTTACTAATTTAGTGTTTACTAATTTAGTGACATAATTTTCCACAGCATTCTCCTGGAGAAACTGGATGCTCACGGCTTGGATGGATGTGCTCTTTGCTGAGTGAAAAGCAGGATGGATGGCCAGGCCCAAAGAGTTGTGGTGAATGGAATTAAATCCAGTTGGCAGCCGGTCACCAGTGGTATTCCCCAGGGCTCAGTGTGGGGGCCAGTTCTGTTTAATATCTTTAGCAGTGATCTGGACAAGGGGATTCAGTGCACCCTCAGTAAGTTTGCAGATGACACCAAGCTGGGTGGAGGTATTGATCTGCTGGAGGGTAGAAAGACTCTATAGAGCAATCTGGACAGGCTGCATCGATGGGCCGAGGCCAACTGTTTGAGTTTCAACAAGGCTAAGCACCGGGTCCTGCACTTGGATCATAACAACCCCACGCAACGCTACAGGCTTGGGGACAAGTCGCTGGAAAGTTGCCGGGTGGAAAAGGACCTGAGGGTATTGGTTGACAGCCAGCTGAACATGAGCCAGTAGTGTGCCCAGGTAGCCAAGTAGGCCAATGGTATCCTGGCTTGTATGGGAAATAGCATGGCCAGCAGGACGAGGGAAGTGATTGTCCCCCTGTACTCAGCACTGGTGAGGCCACACCTCGAATACTGGGTTCAGTTTTGGGCCCCTCACTACAAGAAAGACATTGAGGTGCTGGAGTGAGTCCAGAGAAGGGCAATGAAGCTGGTGCAGGGCCTGGAGAAAAAGTCTGAGGAGTCTTAAGCAGCTCAGGAGCCTCTTAAGTACTCAGTGGAGTGTGACAAAGTGTGTCTATGTATGTTTTTTAAATATTTTAATGATTATACATCTTAAGACCGGTTCACTTTACTGTCGTCTTACCATCATGCAACTTGGGAGTTTCACAAAGTGTAGATGTTAACAAAAGACTGTCTTCTGTTGACATCAGCACATAACTGTCAAAGTAGCTGCAGCCTGTCAATGTGTCAAGAGGTAAATAGGGATTTACTTCCAGTCCATCAATATCAGGTGATGATACAGTCATGATGGAAGAGCCTAAACTAAGAGTTGGGCTTGCCTCTGTAGGTACGAATCAGTTCAGGTAGCTGAATAGTTGAACAATTCAGGAGTTCATAATAGTGGAATAATTAAGACCGGCTCTTCAATCAAAATTAGCAGTAAGTAGAAAATATTATGAACAATACCAATACATGGTGACATTTCATCAATAACACTTTTGCTCAGGAAAAAAAAAACTGATGTGGTCATTCAAATGACTGAATCTGACAGCATTGTCATAAGGTTTATGAAAACAATCTTAAGACAGGGCAATAGCTAACAAGAGAGGACTGAATTCTCAATTATTATCTTTTTGCAAAAGAAGAAAACAAGAACAGTACATGAAGAAGTGGTTGTACACCTCTCATATTCTCAAACACAGTTTTCACCAGATACTCTTTTTTGGACTTTAGTTTTCCCTGAGCTCTCTAGGAATCTTTCCACAGGTTTAACAGCTTAACAGGGTTTGCATTACACACACTTATGTGAAAGAACTGTTTAGGCCATTTTTTCTGTTGCTTTATTCTGTTAGATCCATGTGCAATTCTGGAGACATTGCCTACGTATGTTAAAAGTTAAAAAGTCATTTTAATACATACACCCAAAAGGCTGAATCATGCTCACTTTGCTTGCTTTCTGTGGCAGTCTGAGAGGGCTCCATTTTGTTAGCAGAAGCAGTCTAAGGAAAGAGAAGTGTGTGGCAGCCAAAAGGTTTTCTGTCGTGGAGGAAGGTAATAGAAGTCACAGGTAAACAGCACACACATAAAAGGATACTAGAGATTGATGTGAACATCAGCTACACAAATAGGAGAGGAATGTTTTTCCTTTAGTTTTAGCACCAAGTTGTTAAGAAAACTGCTGTGTTGTGCCAGGTCTAAACATGAGAGACTCAAGCTGGAGATAAGGAGAAGCCTTTTCCCCATGAGGACAGCCCAGCAGGGGAGCTGGGGCCCAGGGAGTTTGGGCCATTTCCATCCTTGGGGGTTTCACAGTTTGGCTGGGCAGAGCCCTGAGCAGCCCGGTCTGACCCCCCCGGCTGAGCAGTGGAGCTCCCCAGGTCCCTGCCAGCCTGAATTACCCTGTGGTCCTATGAACAAGTAAATGCACATCTCTCTCCCTGTCTCTCTGTATGTATCTTAAATAGTAACTTTTTAAGTTACTCACAAAAGTTTTAAGAGTTAGACATATGTATACATATATATATGCACATATATGTATCTCTGTTTACATGAAGATAGATGTTTGTGTGTGCATACACACACACATGCACACATCTTAAATAGTAACTTTTTAAGTTACTCACAAAAGTTTTAAGAGTTAGACATATGTATACATATATAGTTTGTGTGTGCATACACACACTCATGCACACACATACCTTTACCACTACCTCTGCCTCTCTCTGTCACTCTCTCTCTCTCTATTTGTAACCCTATCCCCATCCCTAATTATGTGGCCAGGATTGATGCAGTCCAGACCAGTTTTGATCCCTGACTAAACTAGCCCACATCCCAAGGGAGAGTCTGTGGGAAGACATATCAGAGGCACAAGGTTTCCTTCCAGGGAAAAGGCATGACACTGTTCAGTGCATCCCAAGGGACTAGCATCACTGTCAGCATAGCTGCAAACAGACATCCTCAGGCAGGCTGTGCTGCAGGGATACCTCATAGTCTCACCAAAATCCTTCTACTGTGTCCTAGCTAATGTTGTTAGGCAGGTGTGGTGTTAATGCAATGTTTTCAGACCCCATGGGTTCTCACTGAAACACAGCACAGTCCTTAGGACTCCTCTTTAAAGAAACCCTAACCTCATTCATTCACTTCAATATTCCGCTTACTGTGGTTTTTCTTACAGAATGAAGAGGATGAGGACCAGCCTCTCAGCCTGGCCTGGCCTGACACCCCACGCAAGCAGCTCACCTACCTTCTTGTATTACCCATTGCTTTTCCACTGTGGGCTTCCCTCCCGGATGTCAGAAACCCTGTAAGTAGCCGTTGTTGTAAGTCAGTGAGTTCTGCACAACAGGGTGGCTCTCTAGTTAAATGCCAAAAAGGAACTGTAGTGGATTTATGTAAAAACAGAGCTAATGAATTTTTTTAACAGTTCCTTCTTTGAAGAAGAGGTCACATCATCAATCTTCAAATCTTCGAATGAGTACTTACGGGCAACTGGTTGGTAACAGCTCCATGAAGATTGCCATTTGTATTCACTAATATTTTATGACACAAAGTGAAAGCTCTTAAAACTTCTTTGAGGCCTTCATATCTACATTTCTAGATCTCCACTGAATATGACGTAAGTGCTGAGGAATTCTGTCCATCTCCAGTGCCCTAAAGGATACGACTGGAAAGATTTTAGACTGTCTAAATTTTCTCTGTGTTCAAAAATAATGATACACATTTCTCTTAAATACATGTTCTACTAGACCTTGTCTTCTACTTGTCATCTTTTAATTTTTATACTAGAACAAGATTTATAAGTCCTTCCATGTGTAAAATACTTGCTAGTTTTGTCCCAAACACAGCTTGAAGTAATGTAAGACTGATTATTAATACAAATGCCTTATTGTGACAAGTTATCAAGTCTTACCACTTTTATATTCACGTGTACAAATAGACCTGACTGAGGAGGCTCATGGAAAGTAAAAGAAAAGTCAAGAGCTGAAAAAATCTTTTAGTAGTGTTTTAATCTCTTTTCCTTTCTGGATTAAAAATAGATTTAAAACTGCTGCAAGAGAGGGATGCACAGCTTATAAGGTTATAAATCAACACTCTGAATTCTTTTTTCGTCCTCACACACACTGAAAAACTTTCCCATCCCACACACTGAAAAACTGCAGTTCAGTGCAAGAAACAAGTTTAAAATAAGACCTCTGATTTGCTCTTAGATAAAGGTTTCTCGAAAGATATAAACTGACATTTTCCCTTCCAATCTTTAAGCTTTCTTTTCTTAAAGTTTTCAAACAACTCTGGTAAACACTTTTTGTTTGGTAACACAGAGAGCATACTACATGAATTTCAAGATTGTTTATTTCTGTATTTATGCCTCCTTTTATCATTCAAAACCATCCCTGTAATTTTTTTCATAATCTGGCCCGAAATGAGCAAGTACTGCTAAGAAATAAGTATATGCATTATTACGAATTTTGAAAATCTGAAGTTAACAACAATAGACATGTTGCCTTATCCAATATTCTGTATGGTACAAATGAGAACAGTTGTTACAATAACGGTTTTGGAAAGTGAATATCTCAAGAAGTTGCATGCAACTGTGTGGTGCGTGATTATTAACACTAGTATTGTTCACAACAAAACTGGCAGGCTGACATCCTGTAGCTAAAATACCCTCCCATACACAGAAGATAAGCGAAGTTCTATATGCCAGATACTTCAATGGGGAACAGAGTTTTAAAAACTCCTTCACTGAAAGGAGTAGCTTTTTATAAAGTAAAAGAAATGTAGTTTGTAATTACATGTAGTAATAACAGAAGAGGTAACAGGCTGTATCAGTATGACAAGCTGCTTACTTGCAACATTGCTGTCAAAGAATTAACCAGATAGTTGCATAAACTGTCTAACTTTTCAAGGACACTTCATTAGTATGTTTGTCTCTAAAATATTCTCACTTGTGCCATCCTCGCTATTCCCTTCCTAACAAAAACAAACCCCAGTATCACAGCTCAGCATGTGCATCAGAAAACAACTTTCCATGAAATCTGTGAGGCAAAAGTTAAAACAAACCTAAAATAATACTTAAATGGATTTTGTAGGTAGGCCTACCGTGGATATATAAAATGAACACTTGTGTGCTATATACTGATTTGAGAGACTATATGGAGCCTTTGACATCCTCTGTGAGTATCCACTTTTCAAAAATGAGTTCTCCTTTCCTCCTAGAGTTTCTTTTCTAAAGTATATTTTGTCTCCACATAATGGAGATGGTTTGACTGCATTTACTTGTACTACATCAAGCTATATTTAGCTCCCTGAGACCCAGAAGCTATAGAAAAATAATTTCATATACAAGGTCTCTGGTTACAAAGTTAGCAAAATCCTTGCTGCCTTATTATGCTCTGGTGTATGCATATGCAGATTTTTATAAACTTTGAGTAGATTATGCATTAGTTCAACTATACTCTCAGCTAATTCAATAGCTGACATGTTTTAATGTGTGTTCAGTGCCTTAATAATTCCTGCTTACATTAAGCCAGTATATATTAAAGTCCTTTCTGTAACATCAATAATGTTGCTGGCAGTACGCCAGAGGTAGGTGTGCCCTTGGGGAATTTTATACCTGATTTTTTGGTCAGGTGTTTTTGAGCAATAACGGATATTTTTCCCGTACTAGTACCTTATTTACCCCAGTGGCTCTGTAAAGGCCAGAAACGTAACTGTCCACCTCCTGCAGCAAGGGATATTGAAAGATTGAAAGGAAAATGACGTGGCCAAGGTGGCCTAGTGGGTCAGTGCAGATATTGAACACCACCTCTTTTGTTATCGCCATGCTGCACTGTCCATCCCTTCATGTTACAGGCCAGAAAAATAGCTGTTGGGGCTCCAGTCCTGCTGCCACTGGACACATATGGGGCAGTTCATTGTATCTCTGCAAATTCCCATTGCTAACGAAGGATTACAACTTACATGAACTCTTACTGCCATACAGAGATGCACTGTTACCAAGGGGACAAGGACAAGATGTTCCCGCACAGATCCAGTTACAGTAACAGGTTCTGAGTAATTGGATTTTAGCGCTGTCAAGTATGAAAGGAAAATCAAAGCTTGCAATGCAGATAAATTTATGTCCGAGACAAACATATGACTCACTCAGGTTAAAGGTAAAGTAAAGATGTTGGTAATAATACTGGCTAAAACTAAGACAGCTACCTTGCAAATTATTAAGCACTCACCATGTTTCAGGATCAAATCTTCATACTTGCATCATTCTTGCTACTTAGAGTCCTATTTTTCAGACACTGGCATGAAATCAATACAGAAATGTACCAAGAAAAATGTCCTTAAGATTGGTGATAGACAGGAACAGTACCAATCCAACCAATCTACAGTGGAACTACAAAATTCTTTCTCTTTTGTTAAAAGAAAATAGCATATGAACGGAATGAGCCATGGCTTTTCTCATTTCTCTGTTACCATGACCACAACAGAACCAATTGGTATTAAACTGGGCTCTCTGTCTTTACAAGGCAACCATCACAACAGCTACCAGAAAAGGTGGAGAGAAGTATTGCTCTCTCTGACTAATTCTTCTAGGAAAATGCTTGGAATTGGCAGCTCACTATATTTCCAAGAGCTAGGGAGTTGCAATGAGATAAATCTCAAAAGAACGCTCACATTAGTTACAAAATAAGCATAACTATTATACTGTGGAAATAAAGTCCAGCATCCCAAAAAGAATCAGCACCCTCGTTACTGCTTTTTAAAAATTGCATCTATATGCAAATTATATAGCAGCATCTATGAAGTCCACTATTGATTTCATCACCTGTAATATGTACAAGCTTTAAATTTTGCCCTTTTTGAGTTTAAATGTTCACCCTTTTAAAATAGGTAATTAAACTGTTAAGCCTATTAAAGTACTCTTAGTCTTGAACTGCTGCTTATCAGTTAATTTTACTGAGAGAGGGTTGTCCAAGACAGGCTAGGGATACACATGCTGCAAAGTTACTGACTTGTAATTCTTAGCCATCCGAATTCTGTGGGTGTCTGACTTAGATAGGCAATGTCTCCTTATTTTGCAAGAACCATTTGGTATATAGAATCGCACTGACAGAGAGCTATTACTGGCCAGTACAGCTCTTGCTGTATTAGTTTTGTGTAAGCCAATGTACGCTTATATCTTGAGTGTTATATAGTGATTATTCAAATTGAATTGCTATGGGGTGCTCTGTGTAGATTTTGTGGCCAGCTGCAACAAACTTACTGCTTCATCATCTCTTTCACTGTATGTGTTGCCAGAAAATCTCAGTTTTTACAAAGAAGACAAAAAATGTTGGAATTTCAAAGAGTTGGCTACTAAGAATGGTGAAAAAGGAGTGCTAGCTATTTAGTTCAAAAAAAGGAAATGGCTGTTTAGATTCATTTTTCCTTTCCAGACTCAACGCTACTCCCACTGACGTCAGATCACTATTTTCACAGCCATTTTCATGTTCCTTTCAAATTGTGTTCCTTTCAGACTACAATCTTCTGTCTCCCAATGCATGTAAAGTTTTGATTTTAAAACTGAAAATCCATCTGAGTAGGTTTAAACATCAAAGCTCATTATCAGATTTTTCTGATTTGATAAAAATTTAAAACTCTGTTTTGAAAAAGTAACTCTGTTTATTCTGTATAGAGTTAAGAAGCAGATCAACCAAAGTACCCTGGGCAGTTATAGAAACACTGCTTGTGACAGTAATGGAATTTATATGAAAAGGATGTTTCCAGGTGCTATTATGGTTATTTATGCTTATATTTAAAGACAGTCCATTTAAAACACCTACGGGAATGATCTTCTTACTCCAGTAGCGGTCCAGTTATTTATTTATATTTGAGGGGGTTTGGGAGTGTTGTTAAATCTATACCATCTTTAACATGTGTTTCTATGTATATTCAATTGTGGAGTTCTCTAGGTCGTGTTAGTCAATGTTTATGAGCTCAGTTTTCAGGAGGATATTTAATATTATGGAAAGTGCCCACAGGGAGTGAACAAGTGTTCTGTAGCATAGCATACAACTGCACGTACTGCTAGAGCAGATACGGACCTTTTCATTGTCCCGTCCTGTAGATGAGTGTGCACAATTGCCATTGCTGAGTTTACTTTTTTCCCCATTAGTAATGACCTGATCTCATTCCATTTACATCAGCAGAAAGAGTCTACACAATTTCAGTGACCTGTGGAGCAGCTTTGCTCTTTTCTGGTTCAGCTGACAAAAGAAAGTCATTCCCACATGACCAGCTCTAATGGCCAGCCCAGTGCACTGAGCACCTCTTAGTCCACAGCCACCCATGCTGATCAGTTCCTAAACATGAGGCTGCCCCGTATAAATGCCTCTTGTGTCTATTATACAAGAAAAGTTGGCTGTGCAGTTCTGTAAACTCCCTAAAAAAGAGGGCTTTATCATGGCTCAAGCAAGCTGAATTGGCAAAACCCAAATAGCATTTTCTCTCCAAAAGTCATGTTCAGGGAAAGCTCTGCAGTCCTGTCTGCTCCCACAACACCTAGGGATGACCCACAGGCTAATGAGTCTCCTGGTGCAGCAGGGACACATCCTGCAGTGGAGAGGGGTACAGGCAAGGTACACTGCCCAAAAATTCTAGACACCCCCGCAGAGCAAAAAGTAGAAGTGGGTTTAGTGAGGACTTAACAGGAAAAGGTAGTGCAGGATCATGAAGCAGCTGGAACAAGTATTTAAAGAGGTATAACTTACTTCCACAAGCAGTCCTACTGGTTATTCATGAAAATTTGTAGGACTCTGCTAGTGGCACATCAGAAGTCATCTGGGGTGAGAATCTGTGTTCAGAAGGTTGATGCCCATAAAGATTGTGGTTTCATTCAAGACTGGTAGCATTCATTCACCATACAGATTTAATTTTAAACACTAATTTGATTTAGTGATTTTCTGGTACAGTACTGCAGTTGTGTTTCCTTCCTTTAGTAGTTGACTTGATCTCTTTTTGTTACATAGATCTAGCTAGTCAATAGGAAATATGGATAAGGCAAAAGACTGGAAAGAACAGAAACCACAATAAATCATTAATCTGAATAGAACTCATTCATTGGCTGCAAGAACTTTATCTGTTCAAAGTTTGACATTAGGAAAGGAGACATTGAGAATGAAAATGAAGTTACTTTGATGTTGTACAGATTTTTTAATTCATTGAAGGACTTCAGAGTGTGTTTTACATGTTTTTTTGACAAACTTCTCTACAAAACAAAGCATGTCAAATATATGCTTAATGTATCTTCTGTTCTAATTGAGAAAGTGGGTTGTTTTCCCAAGAACAGTAAATGCCCTAATAAATTTTAAATGTGTATTTTTTTAGCTGCGTCATATGGCAGTCCTTGTTATGCTGTGAAAGGTGTTGCACAAAGTTATTGATGTATGAATGAAAGGTATGGGTACCTGTTCTAGCAATTTGAAAACATTCTTTCTGAATAAACATGAATTTATTAATAAATTTAGAAGTCAAACCACCATTCAGCTAAACATATATGCAAACTGCAGCATAACAGACTATGATACAAATGACAACTGAAAATTTGCCATTCATCATAAAAGTTGTTAGGAAGTATTATTTTACAACTGAAGCAGTTGGAAGAATGAGGCATAAGTAAGCATATACCAGTGTAGGGAGACAGTTTCTTACCATTCTTGACATTAATTTTGATCATCTGATGATGATCAGAATAGTTGGTTGGAATAAATGATCAGAAAATATGAGAGGCCACTCTCATTTTGAGAAGCAAGTAAGAGTAGAGCACATCAGCCTTCAACATAGGTGTTCACTGTTTGTCTTTGTTTCTGTTTCAGAGGTCAAGAAAATTTTTTCCTATCACATTTTTTGGCTCTATCAGCTGGATTGCATTTTTCTCTTACTTGATGGTCTGGTGGGCACATCAGGTAAGGAGGTGATACCAATACAAAATACAAACCTTGCATTGTGTTTTGCACTGTGAGAGCTCATTTAGTATCAGAGTTCATCATCTGTCTCATGCTGAGTAGTGCTTTATTTTAGGAGCTACAACCATGGATGAAGTAAATCACTACTCAGTAAATGGAAAGTACTTCAGAGAGCTGTGATTGTGCTGACCGCAGGACTTAATCGTTCTGGTAACATTAGAGCCATCAGCAACTGCTTGTCAATACCTGCTTATTCTATTTGGCAATCTTATCTTTCCCCTGAAATGTGGAAATCTGTGAAAACAAGTCATTGCCCAACCTTGCCTGTATTCTCCAAGCTAGTCAGCAAGCTCCAGTATAATGTTCCGGGTCAAACAGGTTTACAGCAGAAAGCATTTCTTCACTGCAGGATGTTGGTTTGCTGTTTTTGCTTAAACCCTTTTAGGTTGGAGAGACCATTGGTATTAGTGAAGAAATCATGGGCTTGACTATCCTAGCTGCTGGCACATCCATTCCTGACCTCATTACCAGTGTTATTGTAGCACGCAAAGGTCTGGGGGATATGGCTGTATCCAGTTCTGTTGGAAGCAACATATTTGACATCACAGTGGGGTAAGTCCTACAGCAAGAAAATTGTGTCTATTTTAACAAGTCTTTTGTTCTTAGCCTGTTGCCATGGTTTTGCCAAGGTGCTGCCTACAACAATTTTCTGCCATTGATGCTTAAAAAGGAGTGTGAGGCAAATATGCAACAGATGTTACTATTTCAAGGGCTCAGAAGTTTATAGACATTTGCATGACAGAATTGTTACAAATTTGTTGCCTAATTCTCTCTTTGATACATTGCAGGGCTGCCTAGGCAAGTGAATTGTGCTTTAAAAAGTATGCAAGAGCATTGTTCCAAGAAGGCATTTCTGAAGCTTTTTATGATTTTGTCAGGTTACTGTTGTTCACTTATGTTACCACTCATTGTGCTTATGCTAGAGCTTTTTCTCTAAACGATGATCGGGAATAATTCATTGCCTCTGCAGTGTTCAATGTGTTTGTTGTAATAAAACCAGGATGTCATTGTCTTGTGTAGCTCATTTAGGCTGTTGTTGACATGTGATTTTTTTATATACCTGGCAAGTCCCAAATCACAAACCAATTCCCTATTAACACAAAGGACCCTTTGTATAGCTCTGACAATGTGAAGCAACGTAAGATTGTGCAGAAATGTGCTATTTACACTTCACTGCTTCACAGCAGTGCTAGGATAATGATGTGTGGCATGCAGTTGGAATTCAAATTCCTTTTTGACCTTTAGAGACAAATTTAGATCAGGTCCAGAAATGTTGTAATCTATGCCTTGGTGTTTCAAAAATGTGCAGGAAATACACAGACAAACTCCGTCTTTATTCCCACATTCCCATCTTCAACACAGGATAGAAGCACTGAGAATCATGTCCATACTCTCAGTTTCGCCATCTTTGGTTGTTTCTTGCTATCACAAACGCAGAAGATCAGGTCTAGTCATAGTCGTAGTCCCATACAGCCTAGTTCTTCACTGCTGAAAATAAACCAGCAACTGCACAGGTACAAAAAGGGATCCTGAAGTTAGAGGGGATAGTAAATCGCCTTTTCACTCTGTCTGTTAGGTAATGGCAGTACCTTTGGACACAGCAGGAAAACTGGGCCACTTTTTTCCATTAATCTGGAAGCATGAAGTGTTTGAAATAACATCTATAAGCAGCAGACCTGCAAAATGTATGAAAACATTCTTCACTACTGCGTGCTTTGACTTAAAGCACATAGGGTGCATTACAATACTTTTCTCTTTTGCAATTCTTTCTTACTTTTCTTAAAATTTTTCATCTTCCTGCCAATGGAAATATTGTTGTCCTGTACTAGTCAGCTAGACCTGGCGTATTTACAGCAGAAATGGCACAGTGGAGCTGTAGGCTGGTGTGGTTAGTACCAAGGCTGAAATAAAATATTCTCTCTTGAGCTGCTTATTCTAACTTTGAATGTTGTGAGCTTCTGACAGTTCTCTTCATGCTTTTTAAGCCTGCTAAGCTCCGATCAGTGGCTTAAATATTTATTTCAGCTTGACACCTTCCACAGGGATGTTGCCTCATTCTGTGGCATCAGAGGTGAGAAATGCAGTGACAGCAAATACAGAAATAGAAATTAAGCTAGAATTCAGTTCAAGTTCACATTTTAACACAGGTTTGTACAATAAACGTGGATCAAGGCTTTTAAGGGCCAAATTTTGGGGGCAGTGCCTTGCAGAATGCTGGTTCTTCATGGCAAAGATATGTCTTTATGCAACCCACCCTCCTGTCATGCAGGCTCTTGGAAAAGGGAGGAAGTAAATTCTTCTGCAGATGGTCTGATATCCAACAAACAAATGAAAGGGGTCTTCCTGCTCACAGACAGGATGCCAGGTGATTTGTCAGCCAAAGGAAATATAATTCACTAGTGTAACTGGTGGAAAAGTGGAGAGCCTAAATCCTGTATGTTCTCCCCAAGAACCACGAGCAAGCTGACAAATTAGATTTATGTACATATTAGAAGAGTTGAAACTCTTCCTGTCTCATTTTATGCAGGAAGCCTCTGGTTGTACTTTGAAGTGCCTCCCAAAACTTTCTAGTGCCCCTTTCTGCAGGTCTGCAATGTTTCCAATTTATTTTTCTCTTTCTTAACAGCCTTCCTCTTCCATGGCTCCTGTATGCTGTGATTAACAGCTTTGCCCCGGTGACAGTCAGCAGCAATGGTCTGTTCTGTGCGATTGTTCTCCTCTTCATCATGCTGCTCTTTGTCATCCTCTCCATCGCTTTCTGCAAGTGGAGAATGAATAAAATCCTGGGCTTTCTCATGTTTGGGCTTTATTTTGTGTTCCTGATTGTCAGTGTCCTCCTGGAGGACAAGGTGATCCAGTGTCCTGTCTCCATCTAGTGGAAAGTGCTGTTTCTCAAGAAAAAAAAAAAAAAATTCAAAAGAATATACGTATAAAAATGAAACAGCAAAAACCACAATGGAAAGCTTCTATGAGAATAACCCAAGGATTTGTAAATTTCCTCTCCCTCAATTTTAAAAGAGAGAAAGAAAAGGATACAAAGAGTGGATCTCAGAGTTGAAGAAAGACTGCTGCTGGGCAGTGCAGTCACACACAAAGGGCTGAGTCCAGCTGCGCTGAGGTTTTCTTTGTCTGCTACAGAACATCCTCGCTGCTCAGTACTGGAGATGCTGCGCATGCATGGAAACAGTGAAAGCTACGGCTTCTCCTCTGCCTATGGTACATACCCACAGACTTCCTCTTCTCTGTAGTAGTATACACAGACACACAGCGTGCTCAGTTCTTAAAGCTCTCATCTTCTAAGGGGAATGCTAATATTAACTTTGTGGAGGCACCACCCCACACATACCCTGGTATGGGATTTTTCCTGATAATCTGCTGAAACTCCTGAGTGGAAAACATACACCAAGCACATGAGTCACAGACAGGGAAGAGCTTGCACATCTCTTCATGTAAGTGGATTTATGTGATGTAATTTCAACAAAGCCAAGGAGTTCATCAGTATTTTGATCCTCTGCATCACAGGTCTGTAAAGGCAACCAGCGGGATGTTAATGGTGGTTTATTACATCTTGCAAAACTCTTCAGATTCCAAAACTCTGGCTCTGGCACTAAAGGCCATGCCTGGACATTTTGTAACTGGTGCAGATTTTCATTGCATGCACATGCAAAGACCAGAATGGGGATAGTCTTTCTTCTCTAATAGCAAAGCAGCATGCAGAGAGATCGTACAACTACTATGTGAACACACCATTTTTTCTAATGCAGCAATACCAACAACAGTACCAATGGCTTTCAGATGCTGTTATCATTATGAGTTTGCCTTTTCATGCCAGAAGAAAAAGGCTGATTTGCTTATGCATAGTATTTCATACAGAAAATAGAAGTAGTTGTAAAGCGGCAGCCTAATTGCTGAAGTGGATATATGTTTTACAGGCTACCTTTCACTATTACTTGGAGTGTAAGGACCTTCACAGCTACATATAGCCATTGCTGGAAGAGATCCTGAGCTGATGTACAAAGCTGGGGCAGTTTATATTTGCTTTTATAAATCTTGAAACTAGGTAGGAAAAACTAACAATTGAAATATAGTGGAGCTACAGGAAACCTACCTGAAAATTTTTTCAGTATTGCTGGATGTGTGAATGTCTGAAGAATCCCAGGAAGGAGTGAAAATGCAATATTTTTTTACTGAAATCCTGAGAGAAGGAGAAGGTCCAAACCTAGAACAAAAAAATAAGGCACGAGAAAGCAACAAAGTGTTCATCTTTCCTGTAGTTTGGATGATGAAAAAAAAAATAATAATGGCAGAACTGGAACGGGTGTTAAGAAATTATTTCAGATAATCATCATTTGTTTAAGTCTTTTGTGCAGTTAGAGTTCATGAAATTTCAGCGCATTTCTGTGACCTTTTTCAGCATTGTTTTGTATTTGTATTGTGCTCACAATGGCAGTGCTATGCTCACAGCTGTGTAACAAGAGGATCAGCACATTTTGTCTTGTCTGTTTTTCTGTGTTCCATGAGGTTTGCTTCTCACTCATCTCCTTTGTCCTTTACTGTTTTCCTGTTGTATGTATAACAGTATCTGGTTAGAGGGTAAAGACTTGACAGAAAACAATGGTAGAGAAAACAATAAAAAATACATATTAAAAATTACTGAAATGTTAATATTATGTGATACCATGAAGAAAAAAGTGAGATACTAATGAACAAATGCAAGAAAACTAGAAGTTACAATGTCTGCTACTCATGCCTAGTCCTAAGGTATTAAGTCCTAGCCACACTCAGAATCAGTGTTTGATCTTAAACATACATTTGCAACATTTCTTGCTTCTTAGTGCTTTTTAGCGTGAGCTGCTCTAATTGCGAGCAAAAATTTGTCTGTGTATTTAAGAGCCTGTCTTAACAATAGTGCTACCCACCTCTTAACATTTGTTTGTACAGGTGAACACAATGGAAAGATGCATATACACATACCTGCAGGGCCTCTGCTGACAAGAGCATCAATCTTGCAAAAGCACATCTATCACCCAAGTTCTGAGCTCAAATGAAAGAGGTGTCCCAAAATACAGAGCTGACTCCACAGCATAATCTGTATCAGAGGAGTCACCAAATGCTTTTATTTCTGATGATAGTGCTCAAAACAGGTGATCCTTTCACAAGTGAGCAGAATAAGACAGAGCAATCTAAAGAGCGTGTGCAGGATCACAATAGGTCTGTGTCTGTGGGCACTCACAATATACAAAGATGCCCAGATTCACTGGTCTGACATTTCAAATCAAGAAACCAAGGATGGTCAAGAGTCTGATCTCTGTTCAGAGCACTTTGATGTGCTCTGAAATGTGAGGGCAGCAGCAGCAGAGACTACTGCTGCGGTGAGGGCAGGTAGGGAGAAAAGAGCAACAGATTGAAAGCCCTACACACTGGAAATATTTCAGTCCAAAGCTGGCATCAACAGCTTGAAGGAAGAATTTTTTTTATGTAGGGCTAAGGGCTGGTATCCTGTAATGGTATTTGTATACTGTCTTAAAATGTATATCTGACTCATTTTTTTCCTGTGACTGCTTGCCCCTATCAACATATTTCTCTTGGAAGGTATTAAAAGTAATTTTTTCCGCTCCAGAATGAGAAGCCTCATGGCTCCCACTGCCATGCATCTGCTGGGCAGATCATTAGTCAAATGGCTGAATAATTGTGTGGTCAGTGGCAGCTCAGCTCCAGGGGGGAACAGGAGAGGTTTCAGTTGTGAGGTGCTTTCTGTGGCAGCTGGCTCTGAGAGCTGGCTATACTTACCAAGGCAGCTTTCTGCATAACTGCTGGAGTAAACTGTTTCAGGATACTTGCACGGTGGTGTACTTTTCGATTATAAGGCAACAGCTCTGCTGGTAGAGACAAAAGAGGAATGGGATAGAGGTAGAAGCATGGCCCCTTATCCCATGCTGGAGGAGTCTGAAAATCTTAAATTGGAGTGCTGAGAGAACAGCTGAGAACCACTGCAGCCGAGTGACTGGATGTCCGTAACATCCAGCTTGGCAGCTCAACACTGCCAAAAGTGCACACCACTTGTTACAACACTCCTATTTTTACAATGACAGCAAATTTCCCAGCATAAAGTTTTTCTCATTGTTCAAAACTGTTTCAGTGTGTGAACCATGAATGTTTCTCAACCTTGTACACCTAGAAGTCAAAATTAAATTCCTGTTTTCTTCAATCAAAGTTCTGAATGACTTCATGAGGGATCTGGTCCCCTGAATTCTAAAGCGAGTTCCTCGGCATTGAAGCCTCTTCCACCTGTCCATACGCCTGTGCTCATTTATTCAATTGATGCTGCATCATCCTTATGAAGCATAAACAAATAATTAATACAGAAATTGGTGTTATGATCAAGATCCTGTTCTATCTTAGTGTTTTCAGGACAATACCAGGTTGGCAACACAGTAAGAAAGATAAGAATGCAACTTCAGGTTAAATAGCCAGCTTTTTGTGGCACCATCACACCTGAACAGAGCCAATGTTGGACATGATTTTTGGAAGGGATTTCCAGTAGCATTTGAGTAGGCTCATGGGTCAGATTGTAACCTGGTTTAAATATTTTCTGCACTGACTTCATTGGAATTAAAGAGAGTGGGTCCCATCAGTGCAAAATACCATTGGAGTCCTACAAGTATTTGCTGTTCTCCACTAAAAAGAAAAAAAAAAAAAAAGCCGGCTTCCCTCTGCAAAAGGCACCATGGTTGAATCTGTAGGGTAAATGCTATGAAAGTGTGATAAAAAGTGTGATATGAGGATGATATCCTCAAGAATTACATGTAGACATGCAAAAATCTTTCAGCAAAGCTCTGTGTTTTAAATTAGCTATTTTTCTGAAAGCTAGTGCTTCCTTGTAGTGCACACAGGCTCTCTGTGTCTGTATGCCTCTGCTTATTTATCCCATCAGTGTGGTTGTCTGCATAATCTTCATGAAGCATAAAACACAGTGGGTGACAAAGAAGCTTATCTAGCTGTCATTTTATGTTTGTAATGGCAATGAACCTACCATGTAATTTCTACATACACTTCTCTGAAGTAGTTTACGGTAACTCGCTCATGGTACTGTTGTGTGTGGATATGAAGGTCCACAAAGCGGTAGGTTAAACGTGGTTAATCCAAGTACTGTAAAAAATAGATGCTTAGAAATATTAATGTTTGGGTGTTTTTTAAGGGATTATTTCTCTGGTTCTCTTTTACTTCATTACATCTTTTGCAAAAAAGGGGATATACAATGTTTTTTTAATTATTCTTCTTTCAGCAGTAGTTCTTTCAAATAGCATCTTGTGGTCCATATAACTTATGCTCTGAATCAAATATAGGTGTGTATGAGATGGATTTATTTATTTATAACAAAGAAATAATCCCTTCTCCAACAACTGGCCCACTGAAATCCAGAAGATTTCTGCCATTAACTTGGGTAAGATACAGATTTTTTTCTTAGGATCCCGTATTTCATAAATGCACTTTCATAACAAAAATAATTGTCCTGGGAGCTATGTACAAAAAGAAAATTTGCATTCACTTGTATTCTTGGAAACCATTTTACCTCTTGTAAATAAATAAATAAAACTAACTGAGAAAGAGGCATGGACTTGCAGCTGGAAACGTATCTGCAGGAAGTGCTTTGGAGATTAGCAAATGGGATAGTTTGCACTCAACAGTGTGAAGAGTCGTCCTGTTCCAGCCCTCCAACAGATGTGGGTTTCACTCCTGGTTGGTGTTAAAATGATCCTTCTTGGATCTGTTGCCATCAATTATAGGAATATCAGTACTGAGATATCTGTCATTTCCATTGGGACTGGGGAGAGTAACTTCCAGATTGAAGTTACGCAATTCAGTGCACCCATCCGATATAGAAGTCATACAT